CAACCTTTTCATATTCATAAACCTATATGTTTTGCGTTCGTGAAACAAAATTGAACCATTAAGTAATTTGAGCTCTTGAAATGTTTTAATTCTCTTAATTCTGCCAGTTTATTTCAACACTTATTCAATGACTTTTATTCAACTGCTACTTGGTCACTCAATTTTACCTGTTCAAATTGCCTAGGGTTCAACAAAGTCTAGATCCCCGTTATCATGAAACTTGAACGGTGTACGATGATTTACTTACAGTAATTTAGAATCATCACTCAACCTAGCTCTACTACTGGCACTGCGTGACTTTTCTCACACTGGAAACCAGAATTTAGTACAGAACTTTAATGCCTCAGGCAATCGTGCTCAAGGGCTGCCCCCCTTCTCTTCTTCTTTGTCCGTGTGTTCCTCCTTTATTAAATCTCCATCACAATGATGTGGCGCTCTGAAATAAACTCACACTGTTAATTCATCGTTTTCACTCTGCACCACTGCTCAGAGTGTTTTCTTTTCTTTTTAGTGTACAGTAAACAATTGAGTCGAGGCCTTAAGCCCCAGATATCTCGCACAGGCATCGTTTTCATAACCAAACCGCTCTGGATTCTGCTCCCCAGACCACACAAATGCCCTCTGGGCTTATTATTATAGCAATTCTTATTTGATTTGTTGTGTGCAGCATTGAGCCTTTGTCAGTAAAGCATTCTTCATTGCAGCAGCTGGAGCATTGTGTGTCACTTCTTAGTAAATTAAATCAACATTTTGATTTTAGTGCATGGGTATGTATCAGTTTTCACTCCCTCAACGAGTGCATAAGTGTTCATGTGTGTGTTTCTCTTCATTCTAAGTCGGCGCATGCAGAAGTGTGTGTTTGCGTGTTGGTGTATGTTTGTGTTCATCACCTTCCTGTTCTGTAGTTTAGGTAAACCAGCGGCCTGACGCATGGCCTAGGGTCCTCCCCTCCTCTTTGGGTCTGTTTTCATCCGTTGTTGCAGCTGCCTGCATCTTCTCCTTGTAACTTGACCCTTTTGCTTCTGTAGCTCTTTCAGGGTTTACTCCTGCTGTTGGAGCTTTGCGTCAAGTCTGACGACCTCCTGCTCCAGCAAGCTTCCGCCTGATTACAAGTCCTGTACGTGAAACTCCAAGTCTGACTGATGAGTTCAATTAGCAGCCAGCTCCTCCGGAGCCATGCTCAATTTCTGTTCTGATGCCTTGGGCTCTTACTGAGGGCAAAAAACCTCAGAGTCTTTTCCTTCCACGTCAGATTGGAGTCTGTTTATGTTGTCCTTACTTTGCTCCACGGCCTTCTGCAGCTCTTGTTCGGCTCTTCTCAGAGGTCAGCATTCTTTTGCTCACCCTCCCTTTTCCTCCGGGCTTAATGCGCGTCTCGTCACAGCTCTGTCAGCTGACGCAGCCTGGGAATTTCCCCCGTGTAGTGAAACGGGCTTTAGGTTTAGTGCTCTCCGTCTCCTGCATGAGATCGCTTTTTGCAGCACTGTTGACATCCTCAAGTTGTTGTTGTGAGTCCAGCTGCTGTGGCCTTCAGGGGTCAAAGGGTCAAAGATGGTCGCGGAGAGGGCAACGATGGTAGAGGGGAGGGTAGGAGTCCAGGTCAGCTTCGGCTTTCAGAAAAAACAAAAACAAAACAAAACAGGCGAACAGGAAAATGATGTTGTGTTGGCTGTGCTGTCCAGAGAGGGGAAACAACGAGATCTCGTCTCCCCCCTTTTTTGTTTTTTTTTTTCACCATATAATCAACTCATAACCCCCAAGTTGACAGGACAACACAGGTACGTGTTAAAATTCTTAAGATCCTGTTTAGAAACCTAAAAAGGAATTTCTACATTCAGTAGTCATTTGTCTTAAACAATCAACAAAAACATGTCCCAAGTCGACCCTTTTAACCACTAAATTTGTCGTGTCCTCACTTAATCATCAGACCAGTGTCTTTGTCTTTTGACGTTACGTTGTTGTCCTGCAACCCAAAGAGTTTATTTGTCAGTAGTATAAACTATATCATTTAAAAACAGGTGTATGTTAAGTGTCGCTACTTTAACCTTGCATGTACGTGCACATGTATGTAAGCTGTTTCTTCATTGCATATATGGGTGCGTCTGTATATGGGTTAATTTAACTTTTTTTCAAACGAGGCATTTCTCTAACACGCACATGTGTCTGTTCCTCACACTTCTCATACCTTTCTCTGGTTGTGTGTGGTTTTATTTGTTTCAGTGATTTACCAGGAACATCTTCCTTTTCCCATGTCTTCCGCCAGAGGTTAACACTGGTGAGATTCAGGGACACAGCACCCAGAGCAGTTCAGCGAGAAAAACCTGCCTCAAACTACATTCTCTCTTTTTTTTTGTTTTTCCGGGAGGGGTGAGGACAACTCTGGTGTCCAGCCGTGAATTTTAGCCAAAGCTTGGCCTGTCTTCTGCTGCCGTACTCAGGTTTCCAGGTTAAGAAAAAACCCTGTATGAAGACACTAAACATACATTTAGTATTTGTATAAACATAACTGCCTAAATCATTGAACTCTTGAGGAGGGTGGATTTCAGAATCAGAATCAAAATCAAAACTTTATTGTCATTGTCATGAGACCAACGAAATTAAGAATGGTCCCCGATCATTGCATCATCCCTAGCAATATCAAAATAAAAAAAAACAATAAAATTCAATAAATAAAATAGATAGAATACTTAACATACTAAGTATTCCCACAGTCATGCTTCAGACCGTGCATAGATTAACACAAGAGTGGCATGGTGGACATTTTTGTAGTATTCAGATGTGTTATTGCAGTTGGATAACAGCTGTGTAGTCTATTAGTCCTTACTCTGCTTGCCCTGTACCGTCTGCCTTAGGGCAACAGTTCGAACAGGGAGTGGCCAGGATGTGAGGTGTCTTCTATGATGTTTTGGGCCTTTTTAAAACAGTGGGCGTTGTTTGACTCTTTACTAACTTTAAACCCCACCATAACAATTTCTCACTCACAAACTTCTGTGCATCCATTTAAACATGCGAAGCCAGCACAAAATCACACACATACCCCTACAGCAAAGCTTTAACATAACCACAATGCAACTCCTCCCTTAAACGGGAGAAATCACCCTGAATCAACCAACTCTATATAAAACGTCAAACAAAGATAAACCACAAACATTTCTACACTTCGTGTCTTCCACGCAGCACAATAGGCAGAAAAACACCAATCACAGTCTACAACAAAAGAAAAACCTGCTCTTTTCACAACTCTCACAGCTAAAGTCAAAACTCTTACCCAGAGCCTCTGAAATAATAAAAAATCACCAAATACTCGGTTACTCTTTTCACTCGCTCCTTCACTCCCTTCTTCCTCATACAGCATACACGCTCGCTCCCGCGGACCCGCTCGGCCCCGCGGGCTCACTCGGCCCCCACCTTTTTTCTCTCACAGAGACAGAGAGAGACCCTTTTCCTTTTTTTTTTTTTACTTCGGTCTATCTGCACAGAGTTTACCTCATCTCTTTCCTTCTATGGGCATGCACACTTCCTGTCTCACACACACACAGCCCTCTCTCAGAGAGAGCAGAAAAGAGTTTTTCCTTTTTTCAACACTCAGGAGAAATTCAACAGACAGTTTATACCACTATTTTACACTTTATTTACACACACCGGTAATTTATGTTCTATTTACACAGAAGAGAAAGGCGTTTTCGTTTTTTCACACTCTGAATCCACACAGAAAAAATTCAACAACACAAGACAGTTTATACAATTTACACTTTTAAATGCACAGACACACGGGTAATTTATATACAGTATACACGGGCCCGCATAGACGTCATATCCCAGAAGAGGTTACTCCTAACTTTTTTGACTAATTTAAAAGCACCTATAGCCCAGGCCCTAGCTTACTGGTCAATACACACCTCGGGAACGCCCTCCCGATAGCGCTCGAATTCCTAAGAAAACACCATATGCCAGAACAACTTTATCTCACTTCTCTATTTCTCTGCTGGTGTTGCTAAATTTTTGACTAATTTAAAAGCATCTTTCAGCCCAGAGCCCGGCTCTTGCTGATCAATTACCGTTTCAAGTACGCCGCCTTGAAAAACGGTCAAATTACTAAATTCTACTTACTTTTAAAACTACTTCCCCGCCAGGAAAACACGGAGCTCCACCAGCCACGTGACACATCACAGTTCACGCTTTTGGCTTTACTTAAAGCTCAGTGTGCCCAACGTTTAGATAGGATGCAGCCAGGTCTAACCTTCTTAATCAATCAATGCAGTAGAAGGCAATCACTCATAGATTACCTGGCCAATTAACCGGGAGTCCCAAGTCCCCAGCGGGAGGCCAAAACCGGGCTAGAACCTAACCACGCGTCCGGGGTCAGGGGTCAGCGCCACCTGCTGAACAAACTGCATTCTTAGAGAGCCTAGCTTCTCAGTCCTAAACGAATTTACTTGTTTAAAAGCCTCACGGTGAGCTCTGAGCCCCCCCGTTTAATTATCTGAAGCCCGAGACCGTCTCTGCTACCCAATTAAAACCAAATTAACCCTACACTACCGATTGACTGGCTGGCATTCCCAGTCAACCCACATTTAACCTCTTAAACCGTATCTATTTGTTTCCACACACCTTAAACCGTATTAACTTAAACACATAACTTCTTAACTCAAAATTTACCCCCAAAATGACAACAATGAATTTAGTCAGACTACTATGCCCTATTTTAAAAACTAATTAGTCAAGATCACTATGGACCAACGCCAGAAGCCCAGACTGCGTGAATATTATTTAATTAAATTTAGTTTTAACTTCCAATATAGCGCCTTTGGATAAAAATCAACAGGTGGCACTCACCTTTTCTTATGACGCCTGGCGTCACTCAGACAGGCTGCTGGCCTCCGCCCCTGTTTGTCACCCACACGATAGCTGCAAGCTCCCTCCTCTCCAACCGGAGTTTCGGCACCAAGTTGTTACGTCTGGTTCAGTTTGGGTAAGAAGGAAAAACAGCCAAGTCCGTGTAGGTGACAAACATAGTGATTTTATTGCACACTTCTAAGACAGAAGCATGGGAAGACAAGCGTACAGCCACAGATCTCCAAAGAGTGGACCGCTCCCCATCCTTATATAACCCATGATCCCATGATGACGTAACACAGTCAGACCTTACTGGAAATGATAACAGTTTTGGGCCTGTTCAGAGAGTTTACCTAATATGGACATCAACTGTTAGTTGTTAGAGAAAACAAGTGTGTATTACATTCGTGCCTTTTGTGAAAGTATATCTGTCCTCAGACGACCCTCCTATTCTTACTAAAGGCCTGTGTACGTGCAGAACTGAACATAGAACCAAGGCAGGGTCCAGCAGGCCCCACAGGCTTCTGAGTGATTACAGAACTGTGAAACAGCTTTAAGCAAATAACATGAATAGTACAGAACAACAATAGACTGATTAAAGTACTGATAATCTGTGTAGATTAATGTTAACATAGATATGGTTCAAAGATTATTCTGTCAACTGGTTCAACAATGGTAAATGATTAATGATTGATACTTCTGATTATAACTGTGATCATAAGAATACAAAAAAATATCTCCTGGTCACAGCTACCACTGTGTTGTCACAAGTGACAGATACTATGACATGAGCAGCTGATGTCACATGTTCACATGTTTACCGCTGAGTTTTTCACCAATGTATTGAGAGACATTTAGCAGAAATGTGACTAGTTTGTAATGATGCAGAATAAAAACATGCTTACACTTTTTCAGACCAGGTTTCAGCCTTTGCGCTCCACTATGCTCCAGGCTGAAGGAAGAAATAAAGCCAGAATGAGCCTTCAGAAGCTTCCTCATTATCGAGGATCTTGTTGCGAGAGAGCATGTGAGTTCAACAGTAGAGTCCATACCTGAGACTGTCCAGTCTCCACTGTGGATCCTTTAGTCCAGCAGTCAGTAGCTTTACCCCTAGGTCTCCTGGATGGTTGTAGCTCAGGTCCAGCTCTCTCAAGCGTGAGGGGGGATTTCAGAGCTGAGGCCAAACAGATACAGCCTTCCTCTGAGATCTGACAGCCTGACAGCCTTGACACAACCGCAAATAAAGAATGACATATTATTGAAGTTATATATATTGCTCTTCTCGCAATCGTTCGTCTACTGCGCGTCGTAGCCGATTCAAAAGAACAAGGCAAAACACTTTCCCGGGTACCGACAGCAACGTGATACCCTGCCAGTTGTTACAGTCACCCAAATCACCTTTCTTTGAAAGTTTGATGATGACGCCTTTTGTCCAATCATCGGGTACATATGATGTTGACCAGCAGGCGTTTAGGAGTCTTGTAAGGGCGGCTTCCAACTGGGGTCCGCCATGCTTTGGATGAGTGACAGACCATAAAAATTTTCAAATTACTCTGTATGTGGTCTGACCAAAACAGAAATCAGTTTAATAATCATCAAACTTCCAAAGAAAGGTGATTTGGGTGACTGTAACAACTGGCAGGCATCGCGTTGCTGTCGGTACCCGGGAAAGTGTTTTGCCTCGTTCTTTTGAATCAGCTACGATGCGCAGTAAACGAACAATTGCGAGAAGAGCAGGCTGGCTGTCGGAGTGGCTGATCATGCGTCGAGCAAATCTTCACCCTCCGCATGATCATTGAACAAACATTGGAATACCAAAGGAAGATTTCTATTAATTTCATTGACTTCGAGAAGGCTTTTGACAGCGTCCACCGGCCGACTCTATGGTAAATGGCCTGTATTTATATAGCGCTTTTCTAGTCCCTAAGGAAAAGTGCTTTACACAGTCATCCACCCATTCACACACACATTCACACACTGGTGATGGCAGCTACATTGTAGCCACAGCCACCCTGGGGCGCACTGACAGAGGCGAGGCTGCTGGACACTGGCGCCACCGGGCCCTCTGACCACCACCAGTAGGCAACGGGTGAAGTGTCTTGCCAAGGACACAACAGCCGAGACTGTCCAAGCCAGGGCTCAAACCGGCAACCTTCCGATTACAAGGCGAACTCCCAACTCTTGATCCACGATCGCTATGGGCTATCCTACACCAGTATGGAGTCCCTCAGCAGTTTGTAGATGCCTTTCATTGTCTTTACTCCAACTCCCGTTGGTGCATCCGGATTTTAAACTATCATTCATACGCATTCATACTCCGATAGATGCATCTGAGAGCAAGTTGGGGTTAGTATCTTGCCCAAGGATACTTGGCATACAAACTAGGGGAGCCAGGGATCAAACCACCAACCTTCCAATGAGCAGCTGACCTGCTCTACCTCCTGAGCTACACCCACCCCCTGTCTTGTGTGCTCTTGTGTGCAGCAACATCTGCTTTCTGTGCGAGATGGTCATCACAATGGAGGGGGGAATGTTTGAATTTGGTACCTCCTTTTCCAACTGTCCACAATCACTCGCTGCCGCAGCAGACTGAGAGCCGCTGCCTGGGCTACGCCAGACAGCAATAGAAGCAGCCTCAGCGCTGATCTCTCCATCCAAACAATGCAGAGAGTCAACTGCTTTTATCATACATTCGGTATATAATAGTTTGGACAGAAATCGTGATGTGAAGAAACAGTCTTTGCCGAAACAAAATTAAACTTCGACAGACGTTAAAACTTTACCTGAGAATTTTCAGTGCACAGCGTGGACTTTCCAATCCAGACGATAGCAGCATCACTCCTAAATCCTTCAGGTCATTGTTACTCAGGTCCAGCTCTGTCAGACTGGAGACCTGTGAGCTTAGTACCGAAGACAGAGCTTCACAGGTTCTTTCTGACAAATTGCAGCTGCTCAGCCTTGAAATGAGTTAACAAAACATTTGTAACATTTTGGGGTATAAAAAAAAGACCTCCAAAGAGGTTTTACTTTTTCAGATACAAGAATGGTTGATTGCAGGATCAAACAGTTTAATAACACCACTTTAAATTTCCATAGGAATTTTAGATTCCATTATCTAAAGTTAATAATCTGACCAAAATATTTAAAACTGTCTACAAACAAAGTTGCAAACCAGTAGTTAATTTTGCTTGTGGTTTAATGTGTTGATTTGTTTTCACAATTATCAAATCACTGGTTTTGTTTAGTTTAGTGTTTAGTGAACAATCATGGTGTTTTAAGACATTTTCTAATTCTTGTTATCTATGTACTTACAGAGCTGTTTTTGAGGCTTTGACCACTAGCAAAAGCCTCAGAAGAGCCTCCTCTGAAGCAGAGTACTTCTTCAGGTCAAAAACATGCAGATGTTCTTCTGATGACAGTAAGATGAAGACCAAAGCTGACCACTGAGCTGGAGAAAGTTCATATGTGGAGAGGCTTCCTGAACTTAAATACTGTTGGATCTCCTCTATTAAAGAACGATCATTTAGTTCATTCAGACAGTGGAGAAGATTAATGTTTCTCTCTGGAGACAGATTCTCACTGAGCTTCTCCTTGATGTATTGGATTGTTTCTGGTTGGTTTTTGACCGACAGTCTGTTTTTTTCAGTAGGCTCTGTAGTTTATCCTGATTGGTCTGCAGTGAAAGACCCAAGAGGAAGCGAAGGAACAAGTCCAGGTGTCCGTTTGAACTCTGTAAGGCCTGTCAATAGAAATTTTGTTGATCTTCTTTGAAGATATTTTACTGAAAAGCAGTCGAAGAATTTTCAGAGACAGTGGTGGTGAAAGCATCACATTTTTGTTGCTATTTATAAGCGACATCCTCACATAAAGAGCAGCCAGAAACTCCTGAACGCTCAGATGGACGAAGCTGAACATCTTGTCTTTCCCTTTCCTTCCTCGATCTTCTTGAAGATCTCTGTGAACACTCCTGAGCACCCGAGGCTTCGCTGAAATCAATGCCACTCTCTCAGATCCTTCTCATAGAAGATCAGGTTGCCCTTTTCCAGCTGCTCAAAGGCCAGTTTTGCTAATGACTTAATGTATTGAATGCTCTTCTCTGGGCCATACTTTTCTTTTGTCCGATCAATCTGAAACATCAGGAACTCTGCGTACATCTCAGTCAGAGTCTTGGGCAGCTCTCCCCCTCTCTGGTTTTCAACACATCTTCCAGAACTGTTGCAGTGATCCAGCAGAAGACTGGGATGTGGCACATGATGTGGAGGCTTCGTGATGTCACGATATGGGAGATGAGTTTGTCAGCCTCCTCCTTACCTTTGAATCTCTTCCTGAAGTACTCCTCTTTCTGTTGGTCGGTGAACCCCTGACCTCTGTGTACTGCTGATAAACTTCGAGGGATCTGATTGCCGCTGCAGGCCGTGTGGTTACCCAGATGCGAGCAGAGCGTAGCAGTTTCCATTGATGAGTTTCCTCAGCAGGACATCTGTTTTAGCTGCCTTTGTTACATCGACAGAGCGAATGTCTTCAGAATGAAGTCGAGATGAAGGCGGCTCTCATCCAGCCCATCAAACACAAACAGAAGTTTGAATTTACTCTTGTCATAGTTGGTGATTCCTATGACTGAACATCTGTAAAGATGTAATTAAGAGCCTCCTGTGGATGCCTACAGTTTCTGGGATGCATTCATGAATGAGCTCTGCCAAACTGAACTTTTCTCCCTTCAGAGGATTCAGCTGACGAAGGTGAAGGGAAATCAGATGCACATCTGATTGGATCTTTGTTCAGCCCAGTCCAAAACAAACTTGTGAACAAGGAAAGTTTTTCCAATTCCTGCGATCCATTGGTCATCACTGTTTTGATGGGTCTGTAGTCTCTGAAGGATGTTTGAACATGTCGTGGTCTAATAGGTTTCTCTGGCTCTGCTGGCTTCCATACTTTCTCAATCTGCCGACCTCATGCTGTGTGTGATATGTACATCATATCCAGCTGTGATGTACAGCTCTGTGTAGATATCAGTTAGATGCAATTTATCTTCTTCCACCCTTCTTGTGCGCACATGAACTTGTCCTGGAAGTTGATTGAAGCATTGCTTGTAAAACATGATGGGGCGAGGCTCTGGTACTGGAACCACCACATCTGTATCAAACAAGTAACAAATTATAAACCTGTGTCTACAAATACCCATGTTAATTAGAAACACATGATTTCAGGGTGAAATATTGTCTCAAGATAATGCTTCATGCATTTCTTCAGGAAACATTATAACTTTCATAATTGGAAGTTAAGACTGAGACACTCACAGAAATACATTTATAACTGCCTTAGAAGCTCTACTTTAGCCATAATGACTCAATAAAAATAAATTCCACTCTGAATATAGATAAAAGTTATTCAAGCAGGTTCATGGTTTATTTTTAAAAGTGTGAGCAGGCTAGACAGTCCCCTAGTCTTCAGAACCAGCTTGAAAGGATGACTGCGAAAAGCTGACAGTGTTGTGTCCCTGATAATGCATTGCGTCAAATGGAGACCAACGACCATTGATCAGTGGTTTTTGATCAGTGGTTGTTGATCAGTGTTGTGTTGATAAATGCATGAGAATTTGCATAATCGTTGAAGGAACTGACCTCACCGCCCATTGTTCCTTCAGTGGGCTGGTCCGTCATTATGCAAATGTGGTGTATATAAGAAACCTGCAGTCAGCTGAGACTGAAGAAGTCACTTGGATGAGTGACGAAACGTTTCTTCCACTGAAAACGCTACGTCCAGATTAACAGAATCCACCTTTGGAGATGTGGTTTTGGTGTTTCATTGAGCAATAACCTTCAGCTTGTACTGGGGTGGTTTCTGAGTGTGAAACATCTCAAATGAGAATCCTCACCCTCAGGTCAGAGCCATGGTTCTCAACAGGAAGGGGTATCTGTAAGGCAGATATCACTGAGTGATCCGCCATGTGTTAGCATCTAGCACCATTGCTGTTATGTCTGGATTGTTCAGGGGCACCTTTACACAGCCTGCCACCTGGGTCTTTGCCTGGTGTGATAGACCCAGCCTCTATGGCTCTTGTGCTCAGAGCTTGTTTCAGTCCAGCTTTGTCCAGCTGCTGGTAGGATTTCTGGTGTCAGCCACTCTTTTATCTGCCGGTGGTACA